AGTCTGTATGCTGTTCCTGAATTCTTGACTCCTGGATCAAACTGAGTGTTGAAGACTTCCAGGTGTTATCCTGACACATTAAATTTAACAGATGTTACACTTAACTTTATTGATTGACTGCTTGCTTCTTAGTCTGTGTTTAGTCTTTTATTCTTACTGGTATTTTTGGTTGTACAATACTATGTCTCAAGTAACACCTCTTTCCTTGAAAGTTCCCCTCTAATGCCCCAGGGTTATCCTGGCAAGTCTAAGACTCTTGTTCTTGGGATCTGGGAGGAATCATTTGATTCTTGTTTGGTTACCAACTTCTAAACCTGACTTCCCATTCCTAGACTTGTATATTTAGTTATCATTACCTACAAGTTCACCACAGACTTAGAACATAGTGAGTCAAAAACATCATCATCAGGTTTAACAGCGGGGGAGAGCACCCAGGGGAAATAGAAAAATAAAAGCATTCCCCAGTAGAGTGACTCCTTTCAGAATTAGAGGAAAAAATGAGTGATTTCTGCTCAAACAACTGAGCAAGAACAGGAACTAATCATTTTATTTTTATTTATTTATTTATTTTATGGAGAGGTTTTTACTATAGGGCACATGCGCTCGCCAGAAAGACGGAGAGAGACAGAGAGACAGAAAATGAGAAATTACCCCTTAGGGGGAATGACCATGCCTCAATCCCTTCTCCTCCTTTCTCTTCTCGGGATCTTGGACACACACACACACGTGTGTCTGGCGTGAGTTTAAGCCACTGGGTTCGGAACTCGAACTGTGGTCAACTACCTGGGAGTCCATCAACATAACCATTATGCTAACTGCAGGCCCCATTAATAATTTTATTATATGGTATGTGTTTTTCCTTATTGCCTTATAGTTAATTCATTGCCAAGAGCTCTTTATACTAAGCATGTGTTTGTCATGACATCTGGGGACTTACTGAGATTCCGGCCCTGCCCCTTTAGTCAGTCCCATGGTCAGTAAGTAGCTCCACAGTGCAGCCTCCTAAAATACCAGGTTTATGAAACCGTTCAACCACTGGTTATTGCACACCTAGCAGGTGTTCTTTGTTATAGCAGACTGCCTCATAGGATAAAAGTGCGAAGGCCCTGAAGAAGATACGTGTATGCCTTCTTTGCTCCAAGTTATTTTTGCCATGGCAACCTGACAATGCCCAATGCAGTATTACCTGGTACAATATGCAGATGGCCTATCCTGTGTCAGAATGGTTGACATTTTTGAGCACTAAATGGTGAAAACAAAACAAAGCCCAAAACTTAAAACTATTTGTTTCTTTAGACTTTTGTTGCTGATTAAAACATTTAGCAATGTAATTAAAAGTACTTTAAATAGCTAATTAGATAATGTTGTAGAGTGGTTTCCAGTAATACATTTCCTTTAAACAAAGCATCTATCATTCACAGAGTATAATTTGTCACTAAGTTACTGATACAAATGCAATTATAGGGTAAATGGAAGAAAAGATCTACAAATCAACTCTGATTCTCTGTGAAAATTGCTGTGTCCATAACTTTTGAATCATTCTTCTAGGTCCGAAAGTGATGCAAAATTTGGGCCTACACATTTTCGTCGACTTTCCAACTGTCTAATGTCTGATTTTAAATCATATTTTTTGACAGTCAAGACCCACATTAAAACTATGTCAATGTTTTGACAAAACTGACTGATGAGTTTAATCAACCAAATTGTCCACTTAAGTCAAACAAATGTTTTGGCAGTATGATTTGCTTATTTGTTGGTTCTTTGTTAAATTAACTTGTTTTTGTTATTTAATTGACTGGTTAACTCCAAATAATTTAGCCAGATGAATTTAATGTTTAGAAGCAGTTTCAATGTGATTAAAAAATATTTATATACTAAAGTTAAACAATTTGTTTCTTAACGAATGTGCAAAACTTGGGGGAAATTATTATTTTAAGAACTTTTTCTGAAAACAAAACAAGAACATGTATATGATTTATTTCAAACTAACAGAAAACATAAAACTAGATTCCTTAGAGTATTTTCACTCATTGAATCATGATTCCATTATTTAAAAACGTAAATACATTAAGTGCCTTTATTCACACAAATGGAATCTAAGTATATAGGAGTTCATGTTTAAACAATCTTCCAATTTCTGAATGATAATGGTATTTTATTTTAAGAACAGTAGAAATGTACATTCAAAATTTCATTCTCTCTTTTGTGAGAAGACCATGACAGAATGTTGACATAGAAGAACCTAATTGTGTTAACCCTTTTTGATTATTGCTGTGATTGTGCTAGATTCTTCTGGGAGAGTAGATTTTGTGTGTGTGTGTGTGTGTGTGTGTGTGAACACATGGGGGAGGAGGACAGAGGACAAATAAGATGTTGAATACCACTAGAATGAAATTAACTGTGCATGCAGCTTGAGAAACTAAGCCAGTAAACGCTGTGGTCTAGTGGTCAAGGGAGCCAGATCCCACATTGCTGACTGTGGTTTGAATCTTGACCCTGGTGGCTTGAAAAACACGCCAGGTGTGTGTGTGTGTGTGTGTGTGTGTGTGTGTGTACATACCAAAAAGGGATTGCATGAAGACAGTGCCCCATTAGGGGTGCTTTCTCCCTTCCCCTCTGTCTCTAATGCACACATGAGCCTTCTGGCAAAATTACAAAGAAGTACAACTTTATGAATGAAGTATATTTTGCAGTTATAGTTTTCGTAAAATATTTTGGAAATGGGGTGAAAAATCATGTCCATCTTGACTGCGAAATGATAGATATGTTTCAGAAACCCAATTAGTATTTTCTGTTTAAAGTGAAAATGTCTATAATTATAAAATTTTCTCCCATACCTCCCATTTTTTTTTCTCTCTGTTTTTACCTTTCTTTTCCTTTCACATATCATCTTAGTAAGAAAGCCATAAGAAAAGTTACACATATTTATCTTTTTTTTTTTCTGAAGAGTTTTTGCTATAGGGTGTGTGTATTCACCAGAAAGGCAGAGAGAGACAGAAAGACAGAAAGCAAGAAATCACCACCAACACCCCCCCCCGCCCCCCCCAGGGGGATGGCCACGTCGCAATCCCTTCTCTCTGTTCTTCTTTCAGGATCTTGGACATGCACGCACACATGCCCAGCGTGAGTTTAAGCCACCGGGGCCAGAACTTGAACCATGGTTGACTACATGGGAGTCCAGCAACATAGACATTATGCCAACTGCTGGTCCCAGACATATTTATCATTAAAGAATATTTTTATAGGGGCCAGCTGGTGGTGTGGTGCTGAAGGGCACTGGACGCCCACACGGCTGGCCACAGTTCAAGTCCTGGACCTGGGGGCTTGCTTTCTCACTTTCCCTTTCTTGCTCACTCACTCTGTCCCTTTCTGTCAAATTAAAAGAAAAAAAAAGTAAATAAATAAAGTTAAATAAAAATAACTCTTTAAAAAAGCTTTTATGGGGACCTGCAGGTGGCATGGTTGTTAAGTGCTGGACTCCCACATGGCAAACCATGGTTCAAATTCTGGACTTGGTGGCTTGCTTTCTCACATTGTCTCTCTCGCTCTTTCTGTTGAGCACGTGTGTACTGTAGCATATTAAAAAAAAAGAAATCTTGATAACTAAATAAAATTCTTTATAGAAAAAGTTTTTATGTTTGTGAACATCAGTAATTTAATCAGCACAGATTTAAGCTATCATGAATATTTCTCTTTAACTGACTCTCTTATGTGGATGTCAACTTACCTGACAGTAAATCAAGTAAACACTTGATTTAGGGTTTTCATTGTGTTCTGTTTGTTTTTTACTATTGGGTGCATGTTCTTCCTGGAGAGAAAACAGTGAGCCCTTCCTAAATGACTCGGAACACAGAACCAATGAAATGAAATACAGCTATTGAAAATGAAGGGAACAGAGCCAGCAGGTGGTATGGAGGTTAAGGCAGCTGGATCCCACATAGTCGACTCCCCCTTTTTTTTTTTTTCATCTCAGACCCAAAAGCTTGAAAGTTGTGCTAGGCACATGTGCATGCATGCCCAAAATCCCAAGAGGAAAATGGAGAAGCGATTGCAGTGAATCATCTACTCCAGGGGCGATTTCTCACTTTTCCACTTTCCCTCTCCCTCTGTCTATATTTCTCTGTCTTTGGCAAGCACATGTACCCTACAGCAAAAAAAGAAAAAGAAAAAAAAAAGGAATCAGTATCCAGAAACAAAATTATTTCCATCAGGTATCATTAAGTTAATAAGTGAAATAATTCAAGGTATCAGATAAGATGTGTATTATGAAATTACCTGAGTAAGTTTTATCTGATAAAATAAAAAGCGAGGTGGAGGATATATATTATACTTTGTCTGTTTGTTTTGTATAGAAAATTCTAATACGAAGGTTTCCATATTGTTAAGTGTTTATCTCTTGACCATGGAAGAGTGTGGGAGAGAACTTGAGGAAAATTTAATGATTTTTCTCCATACAAATCTGTTTTTTTAAATAGAGAGCATGTGTTATTTCTATAATTAGCTCATCAGGTATACTAATTATGTTAATTATGACTTAAAACAATGAACTGGATTTGGAATTGACATAGACTACTTAAATAAGCATACTTAAACTATTTAAACTCAACAACAGTGCTTTTTTTTTTTTTTTTTGATGATTTTCTTAAAAAAGAAGGAAATAAACAAACACCCTGAGGTTTATCTGAGTATCTTACTCTATGAAATTGATAGTATTTGTATAGGCTCAATCTCACACACCAGAACGAAGTGTTAATATAGGAAATCTAGACTTTTTTTTTCTTTTTGCCATTTATAAGGAAAAAATGAGCTAGGTAAGATCTTAAAGAAATCAGTATTGCTAGATTTAAAAAAAAATCAAGTCATTGATGCGAAAAATTATTTCAGTTAAAATAACAAATATTAACAGCTGTATTCCTTGGCATTAATATACCTCAAAGCAAAGCAAACCATGCATGGCCAATATATGCAGTAAAGGTGACTTCTTCCTTCCTCTTCCGCAGCTTTCAGTCGCGCCCCAATTCCGATGGCGGTGGTCCGCAGAGAGCTGTCCTGTGAGAGCTACCCCATCGAGCTCCGCTGTCCGGGCACAGACGTCATCATGATTGAGAGTGCCAACTACGGCAGGACCGACGACAAAATCTGTGACTCCGACCCTGCTCAGATGGAGAACATCCGATGCTATCTGCCAGATGCCTATAAGATTATGTCTCAAAGGTACGGTCCTTCTGATATTCTTTCCTTTGCTCGTGTAATACAAACCTACCATAGGCACCTGTATGACTAAGTCAGCATAGAGAAAAAGAAAACGTATTGCCTATTTTGGAATAAGTTGAACTACTTTTGTAATATTGGACTATTCCCTATGACATCAAAATACTAATATTAGAAATTGCAAATAGCATAAGTTTATTATGTTACGGATTTAAACAAATTTATTTAGAAACTACTTAAGTAGTTTAATTGATCTGCTTGCTGTTATTATTAGTGTTTTCTTGAACTGAGTGTGTTAGAGGAGACACTGAATCTGTTACCCAGTTCCCAAAATCAGAATTTGTTATTTTCTCCAGAAATTACAGAACGTTTTTTTACTGCAAAAACAAATTTTGTAACAGCATAGACAAAAGAGAATAAATAAAAAATTAAGGTAATAGGTATTTTTATAACCACTAAATATATAGATGGCTAGTGATTAATAATTATTTGATTTGGAAAATAATGAAGTAATATTCCTCTGATAACTGATATAGTCAAAATAATTCAATATATTTAAACTATCTAAAATGTCATATTAAAAGAAGTTAAGGTAACATGTAATATCACTGGATAAGAAAAGCAATTCTCAATTTTAAAGAAACTTAAATAAGAATCCATACTATAAAAGGTTTAAATTACCTTGATAAATTTACTAAATGTTAAATCTCTTAAATATTTGTTCACTATGATCATACTTTCTTAGGAATCAATAGTGAAGTAACTTATTTACTATAAGCCTTCATTTTTTTCTATATACTCACAAAATAATTTTAAATAATCAACAAGTGATAAGATTTTTCTTTATTTTTTTATTTCATTTTCTTTTATACATTCCATCACATTATTTAGCTTACAAAATGAATGTTTCAACAGGTGAACATTTCTCCCTAGTACAATTGATAAAACTATGAAATATCTTCAACAGATAATACCACGTTTCTTTGTGCGATTAATGGTTTGCCTCCCTATTTTTCTTCTAAGTGTCCTTCCTCAGACCCTCCTCTTTCATGCACACTATATCTGGTATTTGCGTCCATATACTGTGTTTCTATATCCTTTAGTCAATCAGTTTCAGTCATAGAGTGCAGACGCTCGGTATATATTAAGTGGGGACATACAGTGCCTCTCCTTCATAGCCTGGCTTGCTTCACTCAGCAGTAAATCTTCCGTATTCATCCACTTCCTGTCAAAAGCCAGGGGTTTTTTTTATGGCTAAATAGTATTCCATAGAATATATGTGCCACAGTTTTTCTATCCATTCATCTGTTCGTGGGCATTTGGGTTGTTTCCAGGACTTAGCAATTGTGAATAGTGCTGCAATAAATATCAATGTGCTAGTACTTTTCCAATAAATTGTTCTTCCGTCCTTTGGGTAGATACCAAGGAGTGGGATTGCTGGATCATATGGTAGTTTTATTTGTAGATTTTTGAAGAATCTCTAAATTGTTCTCCACAGTGGCTGGACCAATTTACATTCCCACCAGCAGTGTAAGAGAGTTCCCCTTTCACCACACCCCTGCCAGCACTTATCATTTTTTGTTTTTT